GGATAAGCTCAGGGCTGGTGCCACAAACTGGGTCACTGATGGTGACAGCAGAGCTTTATAGTGACAGTGTAGAAACATTTATTTATCCATTTAACAGTGTATAAACCTGGTGAGTGCCTCTAGCTCGTAGTAAAGGGCTACAAATTTAGGACTGGTGAGGGACAAACCTTGGGAAAGTCCCACCCTCCCTTTCTGCTGTCACAGAGGCTTTGGGAACTCACATTTGCTTTTATTTGGGCTGCTGGCTGGTCACAGGGGCTGCTGTCTCCCTTCCTGTACTACTTAAATCGAGTTATTAATTATTTTTATTAACTTCCATTCATACCTCTTCCCAGTTATGGCTGCTGGCTGCTGAAAGAAGCCCCTTTGCTCTCCAGAGATACAGCCCAGGGAAGGTTTGTGGCTGGAAACCCCTCCTGTTCCCAGCAGAGCCTCGTGCTCCTCCTTGTTAATGCAGGATGGGACAGTCATTGTAAGGAAATCAATCAAGGGAAATTTATTCCCTTGGAAAGATGATTGGCGAGTAATCCCTGCTGGGATTTCAGTCTCTGCTTTTAAGGAGCTGCATGGGCTGCAGTGGGATTGAGGTGGAAGTGACCAATGTGGGTCTTTGTAGCTGTACAAAACATTTGCTAAATAATTGGATCTGGAAACTCTTGTTTCTGGTGGAAAAGCCTCTGTGGTTGTGTTCTGTGGGTTCTGTGTGGAAATCAGCCTATGGTGGACACCAAAGTGAAGCATGAGCTGTGTTAAGGGCACAAATGTTTCTGGAGGAGGAAAGGGAGAGCTGCAAGGTAAGGAAGGACCTCATTTTTCATCCCAACTGGACTCTGGTCTTCCCAAGAAATCCACTGGAAATGTTAATGGACCATCAGCACCCCCTGTTGCTGCCCTCCACAGGGAGGTGGGATTCTGTGGGAGCAGGTTTCCTCCTGTTTCAGGCTGCATTCTGAGGGAGGTGGGTGATGTGGCTCTGGCTGCAGCTGGGGCAGCTGAGATGGAGAATTGGGGGAAACATCTCCTGCACAGCAGCTTGACAACCCTAAGGCACGAATGGAGCCTGAATGAGGGCTGTGCCTTGTTCCTGCGGTTTCCTGGTTTCCCTTGGGAGCAGTATCAGGCCCAGGCAGGGAACAGATCCCTTTTTAAAGTGTGATGTCCACAGGAAAAATCCAGACAGGGACGGTGATCACACTTCTCTGGAGGATAAAGCCAACGAAATACAGGTTAAAGGCGAGGATTCCTTTCCAGTTTGATCCATTTGATTCCACTGACGAGTGGACAAAACCACTCATTCTGTCTCCGGGCTGGATGTGCCTGGGGATCCCGAAGTGCCTGGCAGACCTTTGGGCATGCGAGAGCCGCAGAAACCGGGCTGTCCCCAAAGCCTGGGAACTCCCGCTGTGACACGGGGGGTTTATCCCAGACCCCTCCCTCCCCTCGGCCGCTGCCCGGCGGGATCGGGGGCACCGCAGCCCCGCACGGGCCCGGGGAGGCGGCGCCGGGGGCCGGGCCGGGCTGGGCGGCTCCGGGGAGGCACCTGCGGCGGCGGGGCTGTGCCGGGGCTGCCTCCGGCCGCAGCGGCAGCGGGCTCCCCGCGGCAGGGCCGGGCCGGGCCGGGCCGGGCTGGGCAGCTCCGCGCTGGGGAAGGGGCGGGAGCGGCGGCGGGGGCAGCCCCTCAGCCCCGGCGGGCGGACGGAGCCGGAGCCCCGAGCCCGCAGCATCCTCCGTGAGTAGCGCCGGCTGAGGGTCGGGTGTAGGAACCGCTCTGAATGGGGATAACTGGAACCTTTCTGCCCTAAAACTCTCTTCCTTTCTGCCCCAAAGCTCCGCTCCTTTCCGCCCCGTTCCAAGCGCTGGTGGGAGCGCGGTTACTCCGGGTTTGTGTGCGAGGCACCGCGGATGTACCACGGGAAACGCGAGTTCTTTATCGGTGCCTCCAAACCAGAGGGAAATAGAGAGCAGATGTCCTCGCACGATTTTCTGTTCAGCTGCTGCTTGAGCAGTTGTTCATGAATCGGGAGCCCGCAAGGGACGGCTCTGGGACTGCTCTGGCGCGGGTTCCTCCCCGCAGGAAGGGAAGCCCGCATGGCTGTTGAAAGCTCATTCCATCGCCCGCGGTGTCCTTTCATCGCTGGGGACGCTGAATCCCTTGTCCTGACTTATTCAACCCTGGCACTACAAATATGGGTTTGTCGGTGGTTATTTGTTTGTGGGTTTGGGTGGGTTTTTTTTGTTCTGTACTTTTTTTCTCCAATCTGCTGAGCGGCGTGCTGGAAAGAGCTGGCAGAGTAATGTTTAACAGGAAAAGAACTCGAAAGCTCAGAGCATTGTGTTACAGTTCACTGAGCGTCTCCAGCACAGAACAAAACTACACTGCTTGCATTATTTGGGAACACACTGAAGCTGCTGACAGGTTTAAATGGTGATTTCTGGTTTTTCCTGGTAATTAATGTATTTAATGCCCCAGGAAGTCCTTGCTAAGGGAAGCGTAGCTTTTTTCTAAACAGCTTTCACTGATGGGGTGCATTGTGCTGGGTGGCAGGAGGGGTTGATTTAGTGATCACAACCCAGGAGACAAAGGCAGAGCAGAGACCAGTGAGTTCAGGGTCTGACAGAGTTATTGTCCCTCTGTGGTGCCAGGCTGGGGCACTGAGGGTTTGCCAAGGGGTTCTGCTGGAGAACAGGCTGCGAGTGTGAGGTGTCAGCTGCTCTGTGTCCTCAGGGCTCTGCACAGGGAAGGTGCCTCACTGATTCAACAACAGGCAAGAAATCCTGGAGCTGCCTCTGAGCTGCTCTGAGCACTGAGAGGAGCTGCATTTCTGTGTGGAGCCTTTGTACTGTGTACAGAATTCTTTACATATAGAAGCACACAACAGCTTGGGTTTGAAAAGACCTTCAAGCCCACCCAGTGCCACCCCTGCCATGGCAGGGACACCTGCACTGTGCCAGGCTGCTCCAAGCCCCAGTGTCCAAGCTGGCCTTGGGCACTGCCAGGGATCCATTGGCAGCCCCAGCTGCTCTGGGCACCCTGTGCCAGGGCCTCATCACCCTCACAAGGAAGTTTTTCCCAATATCCCACCCATCCCTGCCCTCTGACAGTGGGAAGCCATTCCCCCTTGTGCTGCCTTCATTAAAAGCCCCTCTCTCTCCTTTTTCTATGACCCTTTAATTGCTGGCTTTAAAGAAAATCTAATTGGGCAATGTGCAGTTCACAGTCTGGTTTAGACACTGCTCTGGGTGAGTCAGTGACAGAATATCAAGTTTATATTTCCAGGCTTTAGAAATGAGGGTGTTCCTTTGGGGGTCCAGTTGTCACTTCTTGTCACCTGTGGGAGCTGAGGGGTTTCGGTGCCTCTCATGATCTAAACCAGGCAGGTAAAATTACTGAGGGGTTTTTAGCTGGTGCTACTGCCCAGAGCTGCCTGCAGTTTGTGCCACTGTCTCTGTCTTGGCAAGGCAATGAACTGCTTTTAATGTGTGTTTTAGCAGCAGCTCAGCCTGGGCAGCTCATGCCAGAACCTGAGAAAATGCTTATGTAAAGGTGCTGCCCTGACATGGGGACACTCAGGCTCACACAGGGAGGGTTGTTTGCCTCAGGCCACTTTCAACATGGGCTTTTCTTTCCTCCTTCCTCCCTTTTTGGAGCCTCTCAAGGTAAACCCAGGCACGTTCAGGTCTCACTGAAGGACATCATGTTTTCATTACTCCCTGGAATCACAGCTTGCCTCAATCCCTGGCGGTGTTCCCGGGGTGCTGGGAAGGTGAGGGCAGGAACAGCTCCATGCAAACCCCACCTTTTCCCAGGTGAAATCTGTGTCCTCCTAACCAGCACCTGCCTTCCCTGGCAGGGAGCTGCCTCTCCAAGTCCAGCCACCCTGGAAAAACCCTCAAACAATCCCCTCTGTTCCCTGTGGCCCCTGTGCTGTAACTGCCAGGTGCTGCTGCCAGGTGAGCTCTGATCCCCAGCTCCTCACAAACAAACCCAGCCCAGCAGGGCAGGGGCAGCAGAAGGGAGGCTTTGGAAAAGGGGGCACTGCTCCCCCTTGCCAGAACAACCCATCCCCTGTATCTGCCAAGGTGTTTGAAATGGAAACGTGCCCAAAGCTGAACTTTATGGAAACATTTCCAGCTCCATAACGTGGGGATGCAAAAATAAGCAGCAGTGTGGAGAGTGAGAGTGAATGAGAGGCTCTGAGAGGCCAGGCAGGTGTGTGTGCACAGGGGGAAGTGCAGCCCTGTGTCATGGACAAAGAATGTCCTGTGACTACTGTAGCAAAGTCCACTTCTTCTCCCCTGCTGAATGGCTTTTATCCAGCACTCCTGATTTTCCAAACGTATTTCTGAACTGAGTAGGATCCAGGCTGAAAATCAGTAGGTTCCCATGGATTTTGCTGGGCTTTTCTGGGTCTTTCTTGCAGCAGAGGCTTGGTCAGGTGTAACCTGCTGATTCACAGGGCAGGAATGGAGCTGGGACTCCAGGTAAGAGCAGGACTGGCACCTTCCACCCTGGCTGGAGACACTGACCTTGCAGCTCACAAAGCAGAAAAATCCCAACCTGCTGCAGTTTTCACCTCAGATTGGTGCAGCCTGCTGGATAAATTAATCCCTTTCACAAACAGGTGGTTTCACTACGACAATAAAAATTCTTTGGGTCTGGGTGACTCATGCACAAACAGCTCCCCATTCCCAAGGTGGTTTGAGAGGGAAGGTGGAAGGATGAATATTTCATGGCTAAATATTAAAATATGCAGTCTTATTTATTTGGAGTTTTTATTTTGGTAGCCAGAGGAGGAAAAAAGGCTTCTGTAGGTCTGGCATTTGCAGTGCCCGAGTCAGGAGCCACAGGGTAGAGCTGGATGTGGCTGTTTCTGAATGATGCCCATAGCCAGAACACTTGATCAGCTTCTCATGAAGAGTCTCTCGAGCCTCTGCTGCCACTATTTAAACCCTTTTCCATATGGGAGATGGCTGGGGAGACAGGAACAGCTGTCCCTGAGCTCTGGGGCTCCCAGGTCCCACTGAGGTGTGTGCTGGACAATAGGGCTGGGCAGAGTCTGAACACAAAATATTTCAGCTGATGCTCATGTTGCTGAATTAACTTGGCCTTGGCTAAACAAAGGAATCATTCACTCATAGGAGAATGACCCAGTTACAGGCTTGTGGCAAAGTTATTTTGGTTTTTAGATTAAAAGAAGAAAACCAAACTTTTAACTTGAGAGGATTGGAGATTTGAAGAGTGACCCTTGCAGTTCTGATCCTGCATCCCAGTCAGACACCAACCAACCATTTCCCTTCCTGCTGCTTCCTGATCCCTCTCATTCCTCACTGACCTGCTCTGCAGGTTTTTAATTGGTATTAATTTTTATTACCAACTGATTTCCACTGAATTATTTCTGGCTATTGTTTATCTTGTGCTGTGTAAAATTGAAGTTACCATGCCACAATATCCCAGGGGAGCACCAGAGCCCTGCCTGGCTGTACTGAGCAGCATCTGGAGTGGGAATTCAGTTCCATATCAAGTGCTGAAGGATAATTTACTTTTCAAGGGGCAGCTGGAGTGTCCCAGCTCTGGGACTGGGAGCTGAGCTGCTTCCAGAGGGCTCTTTGAAGTGCTGCTCACACCCCTCTCGGCCTGAAGGAGCCCTTTAACGGCTCAGGTTTCCAGGGACACTTGGAAAACCCTTTTAAAACCAGCAAACATCCCTGCTGCTCTTTCCAGATCCACAGTCCTACCCACCAAAACACAGGCATGTTTTCAGCTGTGCCCTTGGAAGTTCATCCACTCCAATAACAGACCTGAGCTGACACTGGGCTGAACTCACAACCTCCTGCCACAGCCACGTTGCAATATCCCTGTTCAGGGGCTGCTGTTTGTCCTGACACTTTTGGAGCTCCAAGTGAAGGAGCTAAATGGTTTTTCTTCTCCATGTTAGATGAATGAAGCTCCTTTAAATTCTATTTTATAATGGAGTTTTTAAACGTTTCTGTGATGAGTTTTTCCCCTTCCCTCAAGACATTGCTGAATTCTGGATGCAGAAACCTCCACACTCATTTGCTCAGTGATCTGAATCTCAACCAGAGGTGATAATCTAAAATCCCAAAGCATTTAAGATACGTTATTGTGTTTATATCTTATTTTATTCTATTACCACTGACCAGGGGATATTTTGAGGCAAATTGCCCAATATTGTACCAAAGTTTCCATCGCACCAATTTTGAATTTCCATTCCTTCAGCAGGGCCAAGTTTCCAGCACAATGGAAATATGAAGAACCCCAGTTCAGCGAGCCTTTGGTGGGCAGTTGCCTAATTAGCAGTGTGAAATTTGGGTTAAGATTTTGGGAATTCACTCCTCTTTCCCCTCTGCAGCTGACCCAAGATGACGACGGCCACGCCACTGACCAATAACACTCAGCTCTCAGTGAATGTGACCACAAAGTCCCAAGAACACAATCTCTATCAAAGTAAGGCAAGGACTGGGGTGGTGGCTCTTTTTGGTTTCAAGTGGACTTTGAACTTATCAAACTTCAAACACTACAGTGACAACTTTGCAAATATGGCTTTTTTCCCTTCCTGTTCTCTGCCAGGCTCTGGAGCAATAGTTGCTGCCATCGTGGTGGGGGTGATTGTTATTTTCACAGTGGTTCTGCTCATCCTGAAAACATACAACAGGTACGTGACCAAGCCAAAGCAGCATGGACCAAAGTCCCTGCTCCCAGCTCACAGAGCATTTCAGGGCTTGCTGCTGAGAATTTCCAGGAGAATCTAAGCATGAGAGTGCTGATTGCAGTGAATCTCACTGTCAGGGCTCTGTGGCTGGATCTTAGGAAGCACAAAGAGCTCCCTGATGGGGGCTGCATGGTGGGAGCTGTTTTTAGGGATTCCTGGTGGTGCAGGGAAGGTCTGAGTGTGCACCCAGATTGATCCCTCACTTCTCAGAGCTCACATGCTCTGGGAGCACTTTTGGTACTTTGGGATAAATCCTAGCTTGGTTTGACTATGTTGTGTGGGAACCTCCCCAAAAGTTCCCCTGGGAGAGGAGAGCCCAGCCCAGGTGCCAATTCCCCTTTTACCTTTGCCAGGCGCATGCGAGTGCGGCGGGAGCTGGAACCCAAGGGCTCCAAGCTGGCAGTGCCACCTCCTGTGGGGCACAGCAGCCACAGCCTGGCCCAGCAGCCCTCGGTGACCTTCATCCCTGTGGACATCCACCTGCAGAGCAGGTAACCAGGAGCTCCCTGCCAGAGAAGAGATGGAATTGTCACCCCGTGGAGCTGGGACTGCCCTGGGAGCAGCAGCCAGCTGGTGCTCCCTCTGTAAGGGGACACAAACCCTGGCTCCCTGCTTTGGGAGGAAACACCACAGGTCTGGACACTTTTGCAGTGACTGAAATAACAGCTGGAGGTGTAGGATGGCAGCGAGGCCTCCTCTGGGTCTGGGTAGACCAGGAAGAGAAGATGCCCAGGTGTTGTGGAGCTTTTGCTCCCTCAGAGACTCTGCATCCTCTGTGTTCTGCTGAGGAACTGGAGGGAAAGTCTGGACATGCCCCAAACCCAGCTGGGACCTGAGTTTGTTACGAGTTACATGCAAGAGGTTTGTGAATTATTTTATACCTGATGGGTACTACAGGAGGTATCAAAATTGTATTTATCTTTACTCCTATTTCATGTTTCTAATCTCAAATATGTACAGGTTCTTATTTTCAAGTATTTTAAACTGTTTCTATAAACTCTGTAACTCTCCATTTCTGAAGGAACTCGGTGTCTGAGGGGTTTCACTCTCAATCCAGGTTCATGGCTGGAGCTGTGTTAGAGTGCTCTGTCTTACACAAAATCTGAGTTCTTTAACTGACAAAAATAAGCATGGAAATAGAAAAACCAGCTTGGACAGAGCAGGGGAGGCTCGGTGCAGCCCCAATTGCCACTCACCCTGCAAGGCTTTGCTCTCTGGTGCAGCCCAACTATTTTTAGCCATTTTTTATTCTCAAACCAAGCCGAAGTGAGGCTGTTTTGTGAGTGTGAGGGCTGTGGGTGTGCAGAGTGGCACAAAGGAATTCCCAGGGACACTGAGAGCCCACGGGCTGGGAACACAGAGCACCATTGTCACACACTCACTGCCAGATTGTCTGAGATTTTATAGTTTGTACTTTTTTCCAATAAGCTTGGATCTCTTAAGCAGGTCAGTTTAACTAACTGCTAATTTTTATTGTGCAGAAACTAAATTCAATTACTTTGCCATATTCTTTTTTGGCTGAAACTGGAGCACGGTTTGGATTCCAAACCAAATATTGAGACAGCTGTTTGTGAAGTTTCTGAATCTCCTTGTGAATATTTCTCCTGTCCTGGTGCTTTACCTTATTTTTTGTGGCAGGGAGAATTGATTTAAGAATTCAAAAGGGACAGCTGATGCACATCTAATTCTTTTTTCCAAAAAAATATAAAGGAGCTGATTTTCTGTTTCTATCTCTGCATGTTCTCTGAGCAGTTCCATAGGATCAAAATCAAGATTTTTGGGGAAGATAAGCCCATCTCACTGTTGTTGTTTTTAACATCTCTAGCCAGACCCACTTGTAGCACATTTTGTTTACTTTCCATTTGCTTTGTTGAAAGCCAGCACAGTTCACAAGCAGAGAAAGCAGAACTACTGCAGGCAGCTCCAGTTTCACAGAATTACTATTGCTGGCAGCAGAACTGGCTGCTGGGGCCACACCAGCATTGCTCCAGCTGAAAATTCAAACACCACTAAAATCTGCATCCCATTGGCACCTCCTGGGAGGCCCCACAACCCCTCCTGGCAGCCAAACCCAGAGCTCGTGCTGAGCAAGCAAAACACCTTCCCAAGGAACAAAAATCCCTGCTCTGTGCCATTTGCTGTGCGTTTCAGCTTTCCAGGAACAATCCCACACTCTCCCTGCCCTGGGAACATCAGGGCTGATCCAGCCTGTCCTGATTTGGCCCCCAGGTTCCACTTCTAAGCTCACAGATTTTGGGAATGCTCCCCCTCAGCTGGCCCTGCCTTGCAAGAATCAATGGTTGGTTTTTTCCTCCTGAAAGTTCTACAGGATCTTCAGCAGGCCAGATCCTCCAGATGGAATTTCACTGATCCAGATACTCTGCTAAAATGTTTAATTTTTCACTGCTGGGTGAGTCCTGACCCCAAAACTCAGCTCTCCCCCCTGATTTCCATCCTCCTTGTCCCAGCAGAGAGCATGGAGCTCCACCTAGTGTCCTCCTGCCTTCCCATGGGCTCGAAATCCTGTTCCTCAACAGAAACATAAAAGCAATTCCAGCTTCAGCTGTCGCCTTTACTAAACTCCCTCATCCACAGTGCCAGGGCTGTTGAGCAACCGAGTCAAGCACTGTCCCAAGTTTGGCCATGCAAGACTCAGATCATTACAAGTCTGAGCAGATAAAATATGATCATTTCCCTTGGGTTTTATTCCCGAGCCCCATAACCAATTTATTTCCCAAAAATGTGTCCGTAATTCATCCCAGAAAGATCCACAGAGGGCAGTGATCCACACCAGTCACACCAGTTTGTCAGGAGTGGGATGGGCTGGAGAGCTCATGGCTTCTCCTCAGGACCAGAAAGGCAGGGAGCTGCTCAGGGGGTGCAGTGGAGGCTACAAAGATGATTCGGGGTCTGGGGCATCTCCCTGATAAGGAGAAACTGCAGGAGGTGGGCCTGGTTATTCTGGAGGAGGGAAGGCTGAGAGGGCATCCCATAAACCCATAAAATATCCCCAAAGGCTCTCAGAGGATGGTAGCAGGCTCTGTTCAGGGACAGGACGAGGAGCAATGGCCATAAAATAAACCACAACGAGTTCCACCTCAACGTGAGGAAGAACTTCTTGCCATGAGGGTGGCAGAGCCCTGGAACAGCTGCCCAAGGAGGGCTGGAGTCTCCCTCTGTGGGGACATCCCCAACCCACCTGGATGTGTCCCTGTGCCACCTGCTGACCCTGCCTGGGCAGGGGCTGGGCTGGGACACCGCCAGAG